AGCTACTAAGGTTACACTAGGTAGCACGTACATTAGTATTAGACATTAATAATAGACAATAGTAAGATTTTCATCAGTCTGTGAACAATTCACAGGCAAACACGGTGAGCGCACACTTTATTTACCATCCGTAATTTCTTGGAATAACTCCCCCGCACGTACGAAAGCCTTGTTCAAAGGAGTCACACTTAAAAGAGAAGTATGGACACTGTGCGACTTCGAATGATGACAGACTTAGAAACCGTTCGTTTGGTTCTAAGCTAGCAAAAACATTCATATCTCTTACAATTCTCTTTGGTTTATAGAAAGAATACAAGTTACATTCCTTTTCTGCCTCATTCTCTTCGACCGTTTTAAGAATACGTCTTGAATCATCTAGTGTTTCTACAGGAACACTAGCCAATTTCTTCATTTCCAGTTTGAAAGAAGATGCCGTGGAGTTTTAAGCTTTTTCCTCGTCCTGTAGTGTCGTAAGATCTATGATGCTCGTATTTTCAGTCTCAGCCTCAAGCTTCACTTCAGGCGTGGAGTCCAGGATCTCTCCAACTACAAGGTCTACATCCCCTTGGGCTTGTGCTAGACGGGACGTCAACTGTACTTCACTTGCAAATGGCAACACTTTTTTTAAGTTGTCGAGCTCCTCATTAAACTGCTGTGCGGGGAACCGTTGGCCTTGGTTCGCCATGGTAGGGGAGAAAGTACTGGCGTTGAATATGCTCGTCGAGTTGAAGTAATTTTTTTGGCTGACGCTGGTGCAACTGGATGGCTGTTTTCAGCACAGTGGTAGGATTTAGGTCCTTAACAGTCTCAGCTGTTTCTTGCGAATACGAATGGATGCTATTATACAGGTTCCGGTGCTTAGCTGAAAATATATAGAGAAACATACAATTTTAGATATGTATATATATGTACCACTGCAACCCAGGGAACAGAAGTGCCGAAATCCATATACAAAAGGCGGAAAGGGGAACAGAATTCTGTTACTTTCCATTCTTACATTACCGAAACACAAAGAGACTTTTGCTCTATAATTTTCGTTTTCGTGCACGTTTTCTATGACCTTTAGCAATAATAAAGAAATTCTCGAGAGTGCTAAAAAAAAAATATAAAAAGAAAACGCTCGTTTCGTAGTAACGTTCCGCATTTTAAAAACGTTTGTTGAAAATGTCGTGGCATTTAAACAAGAACTATGGTTGTTACCCTCGTGGTTGTTCTTAGTCTACGCAAAAAAATAGTCCAGGTTGTTGTAGTCGCTCAGATCGTGTAGAATCAAGATGTTTATTTCAAGCCACTGTTATAACTACTCAAGTACAATAAGTAGTGTCTATGATTATATAATGATAACATTGGGATCATATAACATTACGTCATATATTACACAGGTCATTGTGACCTTTCTGGGAAACCTCTCTACTGCTGAGACTGCAAGAATTTGTCATGTCTCCTGCAACTGTGTAGATCAATATGTGCGTTTATTTCAACACAGGGCAAAGTTATCGCCGCTGTTATGCGATAACGCGCATCCTTGGTTGAACGCAGCTTACCTTGAAGCTCTAGTCCGAATGTACCCAGCTCTTTACCTGCGTGAACTGCAACAGATACTCACGAGGGATTTTTAACTGGCTCCTGGTGATATTCCGTCAATAGCTTCAATAGCAAGATTATTTATTATATTGCGCGTCACTAGAAAGAAATGCGTTCACGTTGCTCAAGAAAGGATGACGCAGCACAATCGCAATTGTCGTCAAATGGTCGAAGCAGCAAGAACTTGATTATATCTTTGATGAAGATCATTAAACTTTTAATTAACATGTTTCGACGTTGTCAAACGCCATCCTCAGAAAGTGAAGCACAAGTGTACACAACGTATAAATAGAGCAAAGTAACAAAGGAGTTGAATAATTAACATAGTATTAAGTACATAAGGTGTGAAAGAAAAATAATTCAGTGAATAGTAAAGCCAAAGGTGACATTTATAAAGATAGTTTTAGGTTGAAATGAAAAAGTTGTTGATTTAAAGTGGGCTTTTGCCGGAGGATGTGAATAGCTTCTTTGATCTTAAGTTGGTAACTATTCAATGCCTGATCTAAAATACAAAAAGACTCAGGCGAACATTAAACATGATGTGTTCGTAAACATGGGAGGCTCTATCCGTCTTGAGATCAGCTCTTTCATCCTCGTTGCACAGTTCCCTGCGCCATCTTGAAAGGTAGCCGTGCCTTTTCATCGAAGCGAGACGAACGGTGAGCTTGCAATAATAGAGACCTTTTTTAACACCTTGGACAATTATTCACATTGAACGTTCATAGGGAAAAAGCAATATTTTTGTTACTTCATTATCTGAAGTTATCAGTTATCTGTTTTAGATGCTCTGATTTGAATACTCTAGAGAGTCGCTTCGCGTCATGCTTTCCTACGATTTTCTCGTGTTTCTAGATCAACATCCCGAATGTTTATCTAAACAGAAAACTAAATTTCTTAATAAAGGTTCCTCTTTGTCATTATTCGTTTAATCTTCCTTTTGGGTTTTCAGTGAGCGGAAAAATGCCAGACTTATTTATTCATTTACTATTTGTATTTTTATCATATAGTCTCTCTACAAATCTCTCAATGTTAGTGCAGTTTTCGTATGACTGTGAAAAGCTCGAGAATAACTCTCCCCTCCCCTCTCCCCTAGGGCCGAACTTGAAAACGCGTGAAGACAGGGAACGCTAAAGGTCATGTTACACCGGAAACGAAATGCGAACTAGGTAAAGGATTGGTTAGGTATTAATGCAAATAAACGCTTTGAGACACTGGTAATAGCCTAAAAATATAATCCCTGAACATAACATACAACTTCTTGACTTCGATCCATCAAGATCTAGCAAAGTAAAGAAATTTCCCCTTAGTTCCAAGCACGTTTGGCGGCCATCTATGAGAAAGGAGTATAGAATGTCTTCCTTTGAAAGTGACGCGGTCTAGACTCCAGCGAAGTATAGAGTTTCTTCTTCTCACGCGTGGTGGTTGATTGAAGAACGAACCATAAGAAAGAGAATCTCATAGCAAAACAACCGCTAAAGATTCAACAGGAATATAATACAACAAATGCTTTACATCTAATGGGTAAGTCAACGTAAGGGAAACATTAGTTTACCATTTAAAATATGAAAAATGCTCTCCGGCCGGCAAGAACGAAGTTCAACGGACCGTCTGGTAACAGTTCTGTTCTTGCGCGAACAAATTCTTTATCTTCGTCACTTTTTTATACTGACCTTCTTGAAAAAGGGTTTTGGAAAATGGAATTATGTCGGTGAACTGAAGACAAATCGATAGGACACCGTTTGACAATAGGAGCAGGCATAGCTCAGTTGGTTAGTGCGCGACCTTCATAGCTTGAGGTCCACGGTTCGATCCTTGTGATCTCCACGTCTGTTTCGACTTCTCCGTGTAGCTTCAGCTTTGAATACTCTTAAAACAGAGCACTGACGGAGAGAGGGGGTAAAGTGAGCTCCGTCGGCTTCCATTGATAGCAGTTGAATTTCAACTGAAGGAACTACCGACGTTAAATATAGGTACTTTACTTTTTAACCCCTTTAATTTATTCAGAGGTAAAAATGTGATTTTATGCAAATGTCAGTACTGTCCCTTGGATAGACGCATTTTATTTCGTTCCCTTGTTTACAGTTTAAATAAATCGAAGAGAAACGAAAGCCGTGTTACATTTTCAAACATTGTTATGCCGAAAATATAAGGACATTAAGAAAATTATGGAGATCCACGGAAATGGATGACTTATTTAACATAGATGAAATAACTAAATAAGCTAAATAAAGGGTTACTAGGATATCGTGTGACAAGGTGTACACACTGATCGACTTCGTTTCTTTGTTTTAAAGGCGAATTGCAACGGAACTGCACTTTTAAAAACTTGGTTCTTCGCGCGCCGCAAGCTTAAAATAATTCTTGTCTATTGTCCATGCGTTATTATTTTTCTACGACTTTCGTAGAGACCTGAAAAATACCAATAAATGGATTGTCTTGGATGAAAGACATCCCGCTTGAAGATAATACTCCGTCAGCAATGTGCTACTAAGGTCACACTTTGGATTCAATTTGCACACTGTGTTGCTGAGTATGGAAGAAGAAAACACAAGAAAACAAGAAAGGTAATTCCTTACGATAAATGATCAGCAGTTTCGTGTTGTATGTCAAATCATTTTAGTTGTAGGTCGGCGGTCACATTAAAATTCAATTTATTCCCCGGGTGTAATCGTCTGCAGTTTTAGTTACAAGACATTTGGAAGCAGGGAGCATAGCACACTCGCATCACACGTTGTTATGCCATGATGATTTTAACAGTTAGTGCTTAATTCACGGGTTTTTCCACATTTTAATGATAAATATCAAAACATAAAACTTATGTTAACTGAACACATAATATTAATATAATATAATATAATATAATATAATATAATATAATATAATATAAT